GCTCATCTTCTGGGACTTCCTCTAGTGGAATCCGCCTGCCAACAGTAAACAAGAGCGATTGAAGAATATTAAATACTTCAGCTCCCACAAACAGCACTTACATCATACAGACAGATTATCCGTCTGACCGGAGACTCACTACATTTTCCACCTTTTTTGCATTTGTGGTAACAGCTCCCAGATAAGCAAAGTATAGTTTGCTTCTAAAGCCGCCTTCAGTTTTCAGATATATCTGAAATTCAGAAATTTAGACTTCTGAAATAGTAATACATTGTGTTTAAGCCAACTAGAGCCACTTTCTAGATAAAGGTTTGCAATTTTCTGTTGCCAAACAAAGGTTTTGAATGACTTAATTTCTTACCCCACGTATAGAGTTCAAGGCTGTATTTAATCAGGTAGGCATTAGACAGATAAAACAAACTGTTCTCATACCTAGTGTAAAGCACTCTAATATTTCTCAGGTAACACTTCCAATTCCTATAATTTTTATTATGTGCAGCTGGGTTGGATAATTTCCAGCAAAACGGCTCCTATCACTGAAAAACCCTCTCTTGGCAAAACAGTTTTCATCATATTATGTGATTTTTGGTCAATTATCCTGTCAGAGAAAAAAAAAATCCCCTTGTCATCCTCATTTAGGTATGCTAATAGCAATATTTAATAATTTTACATTTTTCTATATAGCATATATTTTAATTAATATATTTTAATTTTAAATATATTTTAATTAAGAGCAACATCAAATTAACTTCCATTAGCACAGGAGAGAGCATTTTTCACAGTCAGGACGCTCCTGTTTGCAGTTAATAAATTAAGAGGTGCAACACTACTGTTTTGTTCCTTTATTTAAGAAAGTCATAAGATGACAAACATTAGAAGACAACACAATTTAAGCAGAAACAAAGAAGGCCATCCAAATTTTACAAACTTCTACTGAGTGCAACACCTACAGCACTTCAATGAGCAAATATTGAGGATTCTGACGAACTTGAGTTAATTAATTAACCCAATTAATTGCCAAAACAAATTTTGCCATGAGGTTTGCCCTGCCTGTAAGAGCTTTTCAGGAAGCTCAAAAGGACAGGAGGGCAAATAGCTAGTCCAAGCTGTGGAAAGCAATTACCATGCTCTGCCATTTTGACTTGCAGCAGTCTGGAAGGGGTGTAAAGGGAGACACACAGCAAGGTGCGCACACCTCTACACTGTCATAGAGGAACGGCCCACACAGGTAGAGCCAGCTGCTCCTGCATGAACACTAGCCAGCCAGGCCATGTACAGCAAACCCAAGGCTACTAGGCTGAGCTACCTAAGAGAGCCAAGTGGGAACGCAAACTCATGTTGCTTCCATGAGGAATCGAGAGAAAGTTTCTTTTTACCTTTGGGCAAAAACAGTCCTAAAGAAAATTTTTTTTCCAAAGAGGCAGAAAAGGTCACCCTACTCCAGTTCATGTTGGTATGCAAGATAAACCAATTGGACCAGCCAATTATAGCTATAAAAGGGTTATGAAGAACTCCTGATCACTTGTGGGATGACTTCTAGGCTCCTATGCTCCAGCCCTAAGCCATCACATACCCTGAGTGCCTGCAGCATGGGTGCTGCTGGTAGAACATGGCCTGGGAATAAGGGCCTTGGAATTGGCCTATTTCCATGAAGATTATGGGAAGCCATTGGGGTATTCATTGCTTATAGAACATTAATGATACAGAATCCAGGTAATTGTTTATTCATTAAATAATCCCCTTCTTGGTAGGGAAGGAGCGCATTCAAATACATCAACTACACCAAACAGAGATGGCAAAAGTCCTGAGCCTGGCCTCCACCTCAGTGGGAACTATTGTGCCAGAGACAGGTGTAAAGCCACTCCATCCTAGTGTATGTTTGGTATTCTGGCCAAGTGACTGAATACAGGCCCCACGGTTGCTGCTGAGCTGACAAACAGATGCACTAACAAATAATAAAAATAATAAACAAAAAAAATCCTGTAGACTTTTATCGGGTCTCCATATACTCATAGACATAGAACTTTACAAGAAACCTTTCCCATCCCATGTGAGCTTTTATCTGCAGTTCTGTGAAGCCAGGTTGGCAGAAATTTGCTATCCGTTACCTACTTGAAAATATTTCCTTATTTGTGCAATTGTGATTGCCAGTACACTCTCCCATATGCCAAAAAGGAATTAAAATACAGATTACTTGCCTTACATACAAATCTGCATGATATTTCTTCCCATTTAGAACTCCCAGCAATGTTGGATTCTCATTATTTCTAAAATTGAGAGTAGAATCATAGACTGCAGAAACTACAAGAAGAGAAAAGGTTATCTGATTACTGTAGTAACAGAACGAAAATAAGTCATTCTGTCTCAGACAAGGAGAATATTTAAATATGAAGTCATCAGCAATAGCACAATAGTTTGAGCTGTCACCAAGGTAAAGATGACAATGGAATATTCAACATGCAGGTTTTAAGAAGCCAAATAACCAGTGATCCTTTCAGGAACTGCACCAGTAGAATGGAAAGGTTTGCTCTCCACCCTTGTCTGCTTCCCCATCAGATGCAGAACACTGGACACAGGGAATGCAGTTATAATTGCTGACAGTTGATATACCTAGGACATCCTAAGAGTCAAATAGCTGGAAAACTATTAGCTTTCTCAACTCACTGTGCATGACACAATTCCCCCCCAAATCCAGGTAAATAACCAGGCAAATACACGCTTTATAAACAGTGTGCAGTATATACAGTTTGACTAAGAACAGGTAAAGTGCATGTCAGACTACCTACAGCAAGAGGGCTTAATACAACTCTGAATTGCTGCAGTTCAAACCAACCTCCCCTTCATGTCCATTATTTGGTAACTGGGGCACTTGCTATAGGGCAAAGGTAGAGACAGAATAATAGACTGCGTCCCACGTGAGCTGGGCTGCTGCTATGAAGACATGCAGCTGTGAGGAATACAACATCCAAGTTCCACAGAACAACACTGCAGCCAGCCTCAAGAAAACACTGTTTCTGCAGTTCAGGACTGCACAGTTAACAGTGAAAGTATTTGCAAATACTTCGTTTGTAGTTAAACTAAGACAGCATTAACAAGCAGTTTCTACAGAAAAAGTGTTTACTGTTTTAAACTCAAAGTTTCTTTGAACACATTCTAAGAAAAGCTATTTTCCTGATGTCACAAAATTACCAGAGAGCAAGTAATTTTCCTGACACTGAAACCAATTGTGCATCGTGGTAAGAATTCCAAGATCAATGCCAGCAAGAAAACTTTTTCTTTTGGGTCACAAAAGTGACTGATGCACTTCACACGTAGCTTGCTGTATTTTAGGTTTTCTGCTCTAGGGTTTTGCAGTAATGAACACTGTGATGAACCCTTATTGTGAGCACTCTTGACTCACCTAAGAAAGCCTTTTATTACACAGAACAGATTTGCTTTCGGTTTTGAAGCCTCTCTAGCTATGACTATGATAAATATGGCTTGGTCACGACATTCAGCCCCCAGAAACTCACCACAACATTTGTTATTTCAAAACAAAATTCACAGCACGGAAGAGAATTGCCTGGCTTCAGCGCTGCAAGGAAATCCTGAAAACAGAGGTCAAAACCCTGTCATGGCATACAGACCGTATACCTTATCAGCAACTCTACTCTTTTCCTACTACAGTTGAGTTTTTAGCCCAAACTCAAAACTACAACGCAGAAGAAAAAATCTACTTCAAGCACGCTACTCTCTCCCTGTACAATGTAAGTAGGAAAATACTTTTTTTGAATAAATTATCTACCTCCATTTTTAAGCTTCTTAGTGTAGAAGGATTTTACTAATCTACTCTAATTTACTAATCCAATGTAATTGAAGGAAGACAAGAGCTCAATTTGCTTTATACACTGTAAGCTTCTTAGTTTATTCTTTAATAGCATGAAATTATTCTAATGACAATAGGGATGCAGTAAAGGAAAGTATGATGCACACAGCACTTTGTCTTTTAGAAGACATCTACTTTTGAGTTTTGATATGAACTGGGCGCTTGTTCAGACACACTGGAAGATGCTTCTCCTGTTCTGAAAAAACTTCTGCAGAGTTGGTCGAGAATGTCTTTATGTGCGCTTGTTCAGACACACTGGAAGATGCTTCTGTTCTGAAAAAACTTCTGCAGAGTTGGTCAAGAATGTCTTTATGCGCTGATGGGCCATACACAGGCTTCTCCTTTGCTCCAGGGAAAAAAAACCCATTCCAGTTTGTAACTGGTCTGTAGTTTGATATTCAGTCCAGTCCTTTTTAATATCACACTGAAATCCGGTGTGAAGCAGTGCCAAATCCAAGATGACGATAGCATATTGAAGAGTAAACAGAGCTCTGTTCTATCCAGATATAAAATAACTGAAGAATTAAGCTTTTCCATTTTGAAAGTGCAGGAAAAAACCAACAGTAGAAATGTCAAAGAAAAAAACTGCACAGAATCAAAATTTGCCAGAAAGCTTCCACAGCCAAAGCAGCACTAGCATGCTGCGTGACACATCAGATCGCTTTTCATTGAATGTATATTTTGTAATTACATATAGAACTGGACACCTCATGACCTTCTCATCCAAAATCTGAAGAGTCAAAAAATTCCATGTTCTAAACCAAGTAAAAAAATAAATCCACAGTCTCAGTCTCACACTAATTTAGGCAGCATTTGAGAAGTTTTCCTTCAGTTGTGAAATAAAATATTTTCTCAAAGAAGTTATCTTAAAACATCTTTTTCATTAAAAAACAAACACAATTCAGTATTTGGAAGGCTTTTCAAAGGCTCAGAACAGAGCATAACTGAAAACAAATTTTTTCCAGCTGAACTGTTATTTTCTGACAAAAAAGGCTGGGTTTTTTGGTTTTGTTTTCTCATCTCTGCCCAGCGTTCTTACAGAGCACTATGTACTTAAGAATTTAAGATTTAATTTCTTAATTTTGTCCTAAGAAACCTTCAGATTACATCTCTAGAGATGATTTGTCTTACTTCAACATTCCTCTTGAATTTCATGCATTATATTGTGGACATGGTGGATTACGCCAGAATGACCATCCGACACATCACCCTCCAGGCGATGAGTATGCCTACATACAGCTTCACACAAGCACATGATGATCTGAAGTGAAGACTGGGAAAGGGAAGAGACGGTGGAATTCACTGTACTGCTGGTATGACAGCCACCTTGACACAATCCTTTGATTTAACATCTCATTGCTCTGGCCATCTTGGTCAAAAATCACTTATCCTCTCCACCTTGGCAGCTTGCCCAGGAGGATGACCAGGAGTGTCACTAAACATTGAAAAAAATCCAGGACTAAAGTGAAGTTCATGGGAAAAAAAGTCATGGCAAACCCTCAAACACTGTCATATTGAACTCCATTAGAACATCACCGTGGAATTTATTCTCACGTGTTCCCTCTAGGATAATAGTTCGCAGCATGCACAGTGGGAGAAAAAGGTTGACAACTTGGAGTTATCTACAGTCCATCGTGAGGCACATTTTTAAATACAAGTCTTAACTAAATAAAAAACAGCTGAAAGGAACCGCCTGATATACAGCCAGGTAATAGAAGTAACAGTTAAATACATCTTTTGCTATATTTATGACATGTATTTTTACTCTAAGTAATGGCTGAATGTTTCAGAAACAGTTCTGTATTTTCATTTGCTTCCACGAACAGTACAGGTGACAAACTTTACAACCTAACAGCAATTTATTAAGACAGCGAACAGCTTCTAGAAATGAAGTTCCTGGGGACTGCATCTGTACTACCAAACCAGTAGAGATGGCCATTGATAAAAATATCAGAATCATCTCAAAAAATACTAAAAGCACTCTAAGAATCAAACTGTGTGCCAAGACCTGAATTGCTGAAAGTCTCTGAAGATAAAAGAATCCATTATCACTTATAAAAGAAATGAGTTAGGAGGGAAGGTTCTTTACTTGTTATTTTGTGTTAAAGATTTTTTTTTATCCAAATACATCTGTTTATGGTGACAGATATGGCACCACTGGTATGGAGGAAGTTTCCCATGTCTGCACATTAAATAAACTCCTCCTGAAGCTTAAGTTTTTCAAAACAGATGGACTTCCCAGTCCATCACCAACACCCCTTTCCAACAGACACAGAACTACTGCACCAGGTAGCATTAAGAGTTGATAGAAAGTTTTGAAAAGGACCAATGTGTGATCACTGCTATTGTGGGTGAATTACCTCTACAGCCACAGAAACCTGCATCCATCCATCCTATAGTTCTACGGCCTCAGACAGGTTGAATCTTGTCAGAAAGGAGGAACAAAGAATAGTGGAAAAGGAAACGCTGACCTCTGTCGCACCCAGCTTGGAACTGGATCCAAACACTTGGCTTGGCTTGCCTTCACTGCTACGTCATGCTGCAGCTATCTCCCTCAGCAAGGCACTCCAGCCAGGCTCACCACCCCTTGTGGAAGAGCAGGAAGGGCATCAGCCTTAGTGGCAGGCCCCAAAATGGGCTCAAGGCAGCTCAGCACCTGTCTCTCACTTTCAGAGACATGCGGGGACAGCCTGCTGCAAACTTGGCCACTGAAATGGATGTGAATCGTACCGCAAGAGAGACAGGTCAGCCTGCAAGAGTCATTCTCGTAGATCATTAGAGAAGTCACTGAACTGAAGTTATGAACATCTGCATGTTCCATTGCTGCTTCTGCAGACAGAGCAGCAATTCAGCAGTCACACTGATGCTGTTTGGAAGAAGTAATTTGAGGCTGTAATAGAGGGATACAGTCACTTGCTAGGCCACATTATAAGGCAGAGCATAACAATGAGACTGAGGGGATTTACAGTGAACAAATTAAATAGCACTATTTAATAATGTAAATAGTCAAAAGAAAAAAATGCCCAAATTACTATAGCGCATAGCCTCTGCATACATTGACACCTACAACAACATGTTACTGCTTATAACGTGGGTACCAAATGTGGGTGCAGGATAAAGAGAGATAAGTGGTCAAATCCTATCAGAATTCATGCAAGAAAGGAATAATTTCTAGATAGAACTTACATTTCTAGATTATGGACTGACAAAACAGACATTATGTTCCCTATTCAAAAATATTTACAGACTTCCTTGTTACCTGTACATAGTAATGTTACTTGTTATAAACACCACTTGGGTTCCCTAAAATTGTTTCCTTTTAATATATTTTCCCACAAATCAGCTACTTGTCCACAATCATACCATGTTCTGCTTGCTTTACACAGAATAGTGAAAAGAACAGAATCACCATCAAAATAACCTGTCCCTGATTCCCAGCTCTGGACATTGGAGGTCACGGAGTTTTGACTCAGCTCTTCTTCAATGCCTCAAGCCTACCTCCCCCCATCCTCAGCAAAACAGTCGCCCTTATTCAAAAGGGAAGGTTAAATTGTGCCCTTAAGGGAGTTGCTGGATGCTGCACATAACTTACCGCTTCTTCACACATGAGAAAAGATCCAAGCTATGCTATCCATTTTGGGGGTGGGAAGTTGTGGATGCCTGACAAGCTACAACAGTGATATGATCTACCTGACTTGCAAGAGGATATGCAGAAGAAATATGACAGACAGCAAGCCAGCTGACTGCAAAGCCTTTTTTACAGCAGCTATCCCAGATATGCCACATGAAAACACGTCTTCAAAGACAAAAGAAGTTTTGACATTAACTTCAATCAAGCTAGAACATTTTCTTCTAACCTACTAACCACTTACTTTCTTACATATCAGCCTTCTAACAATACAAAAATCTACCAAAGCCCAAAGACACTGTAGCACTATGGTCACTTAGCACTGGCTTTCCTTTGCCCGTGAAGCACACAGCAGAAGACTTTGATGGATTGTATTAGCCAAAGAAAATAAATTCAAAGGCATGTATGCTATATTCTTACTGATGTCACTTTAAGGTTGGCAAATGCAAGTAACCAGAAATAACTGGGGGGTGGGGAGTTCAGAACAACATTAACAAAGAAAAACTTACTCAGGGTCTGTAATGTGGGAATAATTTATAAATAAAATTTAATCTACATGTATTTTCAGTCGGGGTCTACTCCCCTTCCCCAGCTCCACAAAGAAACTCTAAACAGTCCATCTATACGGAGAGTTAAAGCAGAATATTTTTGATTTAGAAATGGTGTTGCTTGAGGCAGATATTTACCACAAGAAAATATTTAAGACACATTGCCTCAGATTCTCTAGTGATGTATCGCTTCATTTAGAATAGGATTGCTTAGTAAATGCAAATAAATATTATCCTTTGGCAATAGCTACGAGACATGCAACTTGAGATCCCTCAATACAGACTCACAGTAACAGAAAACAATACAAAACAAAACAATAACCAAGTTGCCCCAGGACTTTGTTAATAAAACCTAATCTTTAATTTTTGCAGGCTAGTAGAAGAAGGCTCAGAAAGTATCCCAGGGCTTTGCTGCTAGGATACATGCTACAGGGAAAAGAGCATGGCAAAGTGACAGCAGTTAGATGAAACAACCATTTAGCATTTTTCCTTGTGACTTTCCTTACCTACATTTCTCAAACACTGCACGGTGATGGCAAATCCTTTCGTTCGTGGCAGTAGGTGATATTTGAGCTTGGGCAGGCCTTTGGCTTCGGCTACCTGCATGCTAATCTGGTGCTTCTGTTCTGTGAACCTTGTGCCCTCACAATGAATCAGGAACTAAAACCAAGAGAGAACTACAGTTAGACAGCAGCTCAGGTCTTCTACATCTGTCTGATCAGAGATGCCTCTAATTCCCACTGACACAGCCCAAATGAACACCACTAGCAGGGACAGGTGTAGCTACATACACACTACTTACAATTAATTGCCCTGGAAAAAAAAAAAAAAAAAGGCAGCCAAAGCCAAACCCTCTCAATTGCTCCCACCCACCCAACTTGCCACCCTCTGGTTTGAACTCTAGGCTTTAACACCTGCTCTGCTACTTGCTATCAGAATGACTTCGTTTCTCTAAATGAGTCATGCCATCTCTAACAAGAAGTTAGAAAACACTCAAAACCTACCTCCTGTTGCAAATCTCTCACTGATGGTGAGGTGTTCGAGTGTCATGGTATCTAAAACTTGTAAGTGTCTAAACCAAACACATTTCTAGGAAATGCTTCAGTGCCCAGCTTGCTTCCCCTCACTCCAACCCACTTGCTTTCACTATGGCACGAGGATCACAGACGACTGCAGACAGTAAATTCAATGCCAATGACTAAGCTGATAACAGATGTAAGGCAGTAGATGCAGGACAACGGAAATTCTCAACCCTTTATAAACTATACAGTGGAAGTGCTTGGACATGAACGATTACAATTTTGCCACTGGCAGGCAGGGGAGAGCAGACAGATCTTTGGAGATTTACCACTTGCTCATCTGTTTTCTGCCAAGCCTGAATGCAAACTAACACATCAAAGAACACTGCCCAATCGCAGAAGTTAAGCCCTTATAATCCACAGCAAAGATTTAGCCAAAGACAGAGACTGAAGAAAACTAGCCAAGCAGCCACCTTCAGTTCCAGCTCATCTAAAAGCACTTATGTATCACATGCATGTTAAACAGCTAGATGAAACAAACTGACGAGAAAATCCTTCTATCCCACTTAGCATGGTCTGTCTACCTTCTGAGATGCTATTGCTGTGCTTTTTGACATTATGTCATCATACAAAGGCAAATTAAAACTCCACACTGCAATAACCCTCGGTGTACATCAACAACTGTCTCTCTCTTACTACAGGTATAGCTCCTTCTTAGTAATCCCTCTACAGCAATCCATAAAGGATGGTGGTGGTCTGTGGTCACCAATTACAGATGAACTGCCTAGGTGTACAGAAATGCATTCAACACCTTTTAAGAGCCACAGAGCACAGGCAAATCCCCGTAAGACTGACTAGAACAAGAAGCCAAGAACTGTCCCTTTGCTAGACAGCCTCCTGCCTGGAAGTCATTTAATCGTTATCCAAGCACAGAGCTTAGTTTCCATCGTTTAGCACATATTTAAATCAATGACAATTAAAAAACTGTTTTGTTTAAGAGAATGAGAGCAACAGCATATACATCTTCACCAGGAAACCTCTTCTTAAGCAATAGCTTCTGTAGGCCCCTGGGAGGCTGCTTAAGGTACCATTTCCTCAGCTGAATCCCTCTCTCGCCATCGCCAGCTCACAAGAACTAGGATTTTTCTGATCACTGAGATTACTATCACCTATTGTCTATACCTTCCATCCCTCCCAAGCACTACAGCACCCTGCACTCCACTTGTTAGTCATCACTCACCCAAAAGTTTTCAGGGTAGTCCCGAAGATTCAGCAACTTCTGCATGACTGTTTTCCGATCTTCCTCCCACTTACGCTTGCAGAAGACTATCTCTAGGAAATACCACATCCAGCCAATGATAGGCATATAGGAGAGCTCCTTCTTTGCAAGCACTTTGGAACTCTGCAAGGCAGAATCAAAGCAAGTAAAACAGAATTATACCACTTAGAGTTCTCTGTGGGTACGACATATACACAGTTAGACACTAATATATTGGTTCGTATTCACCAGTCCCAGTTTTAACACCAGTGCAAAAGCAAAATAAAGAAAAAGAAGTTTTTCTTATGGCAAAACAGTCAAATCTAGTCTCAGGTATCTGCATGAAAGAAGACTTCCAGAATTAAATATATATGTGTGTATGTGTGTGTGTTTGTCCATCCTACCCAAACCCTGAAACACCAAACACAGGCTAAATTCCTTCAAACACTGAGGATTTCATGGAGAAGACCCAAACCATATAAAACAGATTTCTTAATTCAAGCAGACCCTGGGCAGTGGCAACTCAAGCTCCTTTAAGACAGCTTGCAGCTATACTTCTCCCCAAAGCTAGTACATCTCACCATGACAAAAAACCCCAATATTATTCTGAATGAGAAGCAGAGTCACAGAGCCATTGCTGCACAACAATACACTGATGCATACATATGGTTTACCAATAAAAGAAACTTCAAACAGCACTAGAAAAAACAACAGCAATAAAAATACTTCATTTGTGTTTAGGTTTGTTTAGGGAAGGGCAGAAATACTTACACTAGCAAATTTCTCTTCAATGCATGCTTCTGGAGTTAAAAAAAATATTGCTCCTGTCTCACAGGTGTGACAGACACGGGAGTGATTCGTCCAGAGGCTCCACAAGAAGTCTATGGTTTACCAAGCATTCAACAAGTTTCAAATCTCAAATCCTACTCCAGAACTTAACACTGTGATCATCTCAGACTGATATCTCTTTGGGCAGGAGAACTGATTCCACTTGCTCCTTTCCTGTCTTCCACACCAGCCCACCTTGGTGAGCTGTCTTGTGTTTCATTTTGTTAATGAATAAAATGGCACACGTGTGCGTGTGTGTGTATAGAAATTGTTGCTTCAGCATTTCCTGAAAAAGTATCATTTTCTTAGAGCATAGATGGAGCAATTACAGTCCAGTTTCTATCCAGGATTATCATTATAAGCTATCCCATCAAAGTGCTCTGCAGATAGGTTCCAGGACATCACATTTGACTAGCAGGAATTATTTACTGGTAGAAATTACCATCAAAAGAAATTATTTACTTTTTTTTTGGTCACTGTTGTTCGTTTGGTTACTAGGGGAAGAGACTTGACCTAATTCTTTACCTCAGCTCATTTCTCTCATCTGCTCTCCTTCCTCTAGAAGGAAAAAACCTTAAATAATTAAGCTACCTAAAAGCTCATAAGACTGGAAGGCGAGTGCACACCACATAGCTTACTAGCAACTGTTACACAGAAGCAGAGCAGAAGACGACATGAGACAATTCTGTTTCAGGAATCATTTCTGTCAAATGATTTAACACTTTGTAATAAACTGCTCCCTCTTAATCATTTGAGAATTTCATTGACAGGCCCAGATCAGGACTCCAAACCCAGCTCTCCCACAAGGAGCAGCCACAGGATTCAGCACACTTTTTGCCATTTCAATTTCAAGCCATGTTGGGTGTTAGCCCCTACTGCATGGCGGCAGCAGCACCGCTGAGCCCAGCCTCCTCTTCCAGCTCCCCAAACTGGCCACAGAGAAACGTGCTCTCCTCCCACCACTTTCTGTAGCACTCCGTTCTTTTCCCACACTACTGTTTTTCCTTTTCTCAGCTACTCTTAATATGACTAATTTTCTTATTTCCAAAATGAATGTAAATACTTCTAGCATATAGCTTTAAAAGCCTCCAAAGGCATTTTTTTTGTTGTAGGCCAGGCACAGTATAGCTCCCATTCAAAGCACACAGACCAGTTCATACACTCCTCCGTTCCTCTCCCCCGTACACACCTGAGGAAGACAGCTGAACCAAGGCTTTGCCCCAAGAAACCCCAGCAGATGCAAAGCTGAGCAGGGAGGGCTAAAACCTTAGGGAACTACTGCCCACCTCAGCCACAACCAGGACAGCCGTCAGCCGCAGCCTACCACAAGCCACCACACAATGAGGCAAAACTAACAGTGTCGCCCCCCAAAAATGCAAAAAAAAAAACCAACCCATGCTTTTAAAGTTTATTTACAGTTAGTGCTCAGTATCATAAGCTCTACCATAAACAAATATAAGTGTGCTCTGCATAGAATGCACCAGGCCTCCAGAGCAGAGTCAGAAAAGAATCTAATAGCCCCCCCTCACGACTTTAAAACACAGGAATCCTAGTCCAAAAAGCAAGCTCAGTAAGTACTTCACCATAGCTATTTTCTAATGTTTTCCACATTTAAAAAAGTGTATGAGTTAAAGGGCAGGAGCCATCACCGTTTTGTTTTGCTTTTTCCCAGTGAATAAAGAAACCATGTTGTAAGATAACGTGTCACATGGCATAGGTATAACCACAAAAGCAGAGCGGATGTTTGAATTCTTCCCCAGGGCTTGTTCTTATTCATTTTCTATGCTGATGAATTTTTAAAATTTAAAAGCGCACTTTCAGACACGTGAGATTATGACTCCTTAGATGCACATAAAAAGAAACTAAATCACCTTATGCTATTTTGTGCGCCCCATCTATCCTAGGAGTAGAAGGAAGGCTAATGAGACAGAACTAATTAGAGAAAGGAAACTCCTCAATGCGTTATACTGGCAAGACTGCTCTCATGTAGGAGGAATACATTAGGCCTCCCCTCTCAAGCTACCATGTCTTTTACAATAACTAGAGCTACAATCTATTATTTTCAGTCGTCTACCCATGCCCAGCTCCTGTGCAAATAACTGACGGTAAAAATAAAGCTCTAGTTGACTTCAGCCACTAACCTTTCCTTTACCAAAGTGTTTTGGTAAATGTGTGACCGTCACCTCCAACCTTCAATTCAGCTTGTTCAAAGAATAAATTTCATTAAAAAAAACCTCATTTCTTCCATCAAGAAGGCCATGTAAGCTATCTTCTTGAAGGAAGTAAAACATTTTCAGTGCTCAGAACTGTGTAATTCCAACATACATTTAATGAAATTACTGCTGGATGAGGACAACATGTCTACAGTAATAACATCTTAATCCAGGTTAATTTCTTTCAGCCAGGTTTGTTCAGATGAAAACACCCATGAAGTTCTCTTTTTGTAAATGATTGCACTAACATGACATAAAAAGAAAAAAAATATTTTTACAAGCTTACTTTAGATGCATTTCCACAACTATGCTGTCACAGAAAGAAAATCTTTCTTTATATGTCCAGCCTCAGTTGTTCAACACTTCTTTACCACAGAATGCAACAAACAGCATGAAATCAACCTGCAAGCGGAGGATGTCTAATGAAATTTGTTCCAGTTTCAAAACAAATTCACTGTAGATGAAAAACATTAGCAGCAGCAATTCAAAAGTTATTTGCTCTCCACGCTGCCCTTAGCATTGACATACTTTTGATGATTCCGTTTGCTCTACTTTTGAAATATAGTACTTCTTCACATTATACTCTCTAGGACATCAAGATGGAAAGATAAGTTTCTTTAGGCCCTCAAAGCCATTATTCCAGAAATTCAGTTAGGCTCCTGATTTCTAATGCTTTACATTGAATAAAACTTTTCCATGTTGGAAAGGTAACACAGCAATATTTTAGAGGATGTATGCCCAAGCATATGCTAAGATGCACTGTTAAATAAAAGTAATAATGTAATTTTGGCTGCCTACATGAACAATTAAATAATTTAGAATCATAGAAACATTGAGGTTGGAAAAGACCTTTAAGATCAAGTCCA